CCTCCTGGTTCATAGTGTTACCATAAAAGCGTTCAAACCTGTGAAGAGGTGTTTTTAAAAATATATTTTATTGATTCTTTTTTTTACAGAGAGGAAGGGAGAGAGACAGAGAGCTAGAAACATCGATGAGAGAGAAACATCGATCAGCTGCCTCCTGCACATCTCCCACTGGTGATGTGCCCGCAACCCAGGCACATGCCCTTGGCCGGAATCGAACCTGGGACCCTTCAGTCCGCAGGCCGACGCTCCATCCACTGAGCCAAACCGGTTGTGAAGAGTTTTTGTGAATTTATTTGAGCCCAACTGTTGGCAGTTGCGGGGCAGCAGAATCTCAATGTTTTGGGATGATGCTCCAGAGAATGGCAGTTTTTCACCTGTTTTATACATTACAAGCAAAGGAGGCACCGTGAGTGGGTTACATGAAATCCCTTGGTGATAGATTAGGGAGGTGGGAGAAAGCAAAGTGGGGGGAAAACTCTGGGATTGGATAAAAGTAAAATGATAGCCCCTGGTGGGTACAGGATAGTTTACAGTCAACAATTAACATGATAATAACAATGAGGGGATTTGTGGTCTCTGTCCTGGCGCCCAGGCACATTTGGTTTTGCCCTGAGGGGTCCGGAAAAAGGGAAGTTACCAGTTACCCTGACATTTCACAGGCATGTTATCTTAGGTACAAAAAGACAATAGGCTCAGTTATGATCAAGATTGACCTTTGTCAGGGAAGATAGCAGTCTAGGAGGCGATTACACAATATAAACTGCTTCTGGTTAAGGTTTTAATTTCAGACCATACTTGTGGTTACTTCAGGTGTTTGAGTTTGCAAAACTGCCATGCAGGCCTTCCCTGAGCTAGTTAGGTTAGCGTGTGGCTAACAATAGGTTGACACTCAACCACTGAGCCACACTAGCCAGGTCAGTTATTTGGATTTTAGATAAACAGCGCATCACTTCAAGTCACAGGTAACTGGGCGTCCTGTGTTTTATCTGGTGGCCCTACCTGGGCTTTAGAGGGTCTGCCACCCTGACCTTGACATTTAAATAGAGAATCTAACTCTTAGAATGCCTTTCTTCACTCACATTTCCTGGGCTTCTGCTCCCTGCTGAGCCCTGGAGACAAAGTAGAGCCACTCAGTGGGTGTGCATTCCAGGTGAGATGGAGATAAGGGCTATGAAAAGCAGTAAAGCAGGCCTCTCCAAGGAGGTTAGAAAAGAGGCCAGCAGCCCGGGCAGAGGAACTGTATTTGCAAAGGCCCTGAGGCAGGAACATCAGAAGAGTAGCAAGGAGGCCAGTGTGGCTGGAGCAGAGGGAGCCAGGGGGAGGAGAGAGAATTGGGGAAGCAGGGCCGCCCCGAAGCTCCCTAGCCAGATGTTGGACTAGGGCCTTGACTCTGAATGTGATGGTGCCCATGGAAGGGTTTTGACCTGGAATGTAGTTCTGGCTGCAGGGTGAGAAGCAGGAGGGGCATCAGGAGACCTGTGAGGGCCATCACAGCCCTCTAAGAGGTGGTGGGTGCGGTGCTGGTGAGGAGGGTCAGACTTTGGGGATGTTTGGAAGGTAGGACATGTGGTGAATCAAGTCAGGATTGTGAGACAAAGGGTCACATCTGCCTGCAGGACTTTTGGCCGGTTGGTCTTGGCTGAGATGAAAGATGGTGGGGGAGAGGAGGGTGGGAGAGCAAATTTGGGGGTCAGAGTGGAAATCAAGAGTTTGTTTTGGATCGCTACATTTGTGAGACCTTTTTAACATCTGAGGGAGGTGCCAGGCCACAGGTTGGCTGTGAGTCTGGAGATCAGAGGGTACCAGTAAGTTGGGCTGGTTGAGGTCCCCACACACAGGGAGCCTGGGGCAGGGCCAGGTTGCCAGGTGTGTGTGTGTGTGTGTGTGTGTGTGTGGCGAGAGAGAGAGAGAGAGAGAGAGAGAGAGAGAGAGAATGAATCTTGTCCTGTCCCCAAGCCTGTGGTCAAGTTTTGCAAACACCACTGGCCTTTTCCCAGCTGTGCTCATGGGGCATTAGGAAGGAGCCTTTGCTTGGAGCAAAGCACTATGCCAAGGAGTTTGGTGTTTGGTGGTGCAGTGCGGGTGGGTAGGACCGAGGGCCACGTGGACAGATGTGGGGCTCGCGGGCATTGTTCTGGGAGCCAGTGTGGACCAGGACAGACTAGTTGGGCCTGGTTTTGTCTGGGCACCTGCCAGACAGCCTGTCCCCTGCTGCCGCGGAACCTGCCCCACAGGGACCTGGCTCCCTCTGGGAGGCCAGCACGCTCAGGGAGCCAGACCCCTGGACACAGGAAGTCACCAGTTAAATGGATGCCAAGTGTGAGTGGCACACTCTTCTGGAAGCGGCCCATGGCCTTCACTGGGGTTTATGCGAGAGGCTGTGATGGCCCAGCAGAGTGAGAAATGAAAGCGCCTCATAAGCTGGCCAGATGACCTGGGACTTTGAGCCCTGAAGCTATTTCAAAGAGGAGGGACCGTTATGGGGAGAAGCAGAAAGAGACAGATGACAGGAAAATTAAATGTAGGGTTTAATGGAGAAATAATCATTTTCTATGAAAGATAATGACTTCTCTGGAGGCAGGTATCAAGATTTATTGGCCCAAGAGGTTCCTGGGGAGCATAGCCAGGCGAGCACGCTGAGGCCGAGACGGGAGTAATCCTGAGAGTGAAGGGTCAGTACATCTGGACACCGCGCCCTCTGCCCATGTATCACAGGGGCCGGGATTAAACCGTCTCCCACTTCAGGGAACACAGTCCTCCAGCCAGTCAAGTTACAGCCGCCTCCCCGGACCCCACTGTCCTTGGAGGGGGGCCAGGGTTCTCACGAGTCCCCTCGAGCAGCCTCCCTTAAAAGGCACGGAACACAGGCCGAGAGATGACTGCAGGGCTGCCGGCCACCCAGGGAGGTCACCACAGGAGGCCCTGGTTCCAGCGGTGAGCACAGCCATGGCCATGACAGCGCCCACACCACAGCCACCAGACGGGAGACTGGGACTGGAGGCAGACCTGCAGGGCTTCCATGTGGGAGATTTATTGCTGTGCCAAATGTGTGTGTGTAAATACATAATTCCTCTCACATGGCCTCATAAATCCAAAAGGGTCAGCCATACATAGAAAATAAAAAATTACAAACTAATTTGTTCAGAAAACTAGAAGGGAATCAATACAAAAACTGTAGCTCAAAATTTGGTTTTAAATTGTGTACGTAGAGAATGAACACATTTCCCCCTGGATCCAAATGTCTCCTTTGTCGTGGCTCCAAGGTGGGCCTGGGACAGCCGGTGCCATGTCAACATGAATTGTCTTAGCTGGTGCCTTCGTTTGTAGGATGGCACAGGACCAAGGTCAGCCTGGTCCTGAGCGGCCACCCCAGGGGCCTGGGGAAGGGCCCTGCAGTGTTCTCAGAGGTCTTGGGGCCCCTCACCAGACCTGCAGGTGGGGGACACAGGCAGCACCTTGGGTTGTGCCAGGGCAGCTATGGATGGATGGATGGATGATGGATGGCTGATAGATAACACATAGATGACTGATAGGTGGATAAATGACAGATAATAGATGATAAATGATGGATGGTACAGATGAATTTGGTGAATTCCCTGGAGCACCAGCTTAGAGGGAATACTGGCCAGCGTTCTGGCTGTACTGGGGAAGATGGGGCTCAGGCCCCCTGTGGCCCAGATGCAAGATTCTGGGACAGGCAGACAGGACCCAAGTGTCTGCTGTCATCCGAATTGGTGCGAGGGTCCAGTGGCTTCCTCAGGACAGGGGCTGTGGCAAGAGCACTGCTCTGGGCGAGGGGCGGGTGGCAGGGAGTCTTGTGTGGTGGCTCCTATGGGGGGGTCGCTGCTGCGGTGGCCTGTCCTGCAGGTCCGTGAAGGCAGCGGCTCTGGGGCTGTTCCTGTGTCCACTGCTGAGACCCGTCCCCGAGGCCTCCGCCCGGCAGGTCGACCTCCTCCAGTGCTTCTCCTCTGACTTCCTTCCCCACAAGCCCTCTGTGTGGCGTCAGCACGGGTTCCTACGCAGAACCGCCGATGCCTTTGACGAGGGTCCAGGTCCACACGGGGCCGTGGAGAGCACACTTGGTAATGGACACCACCAGGAAATGGGCTCTCGTTCCTTCCAGGAGGAGTCAGGGAACATTTAGGGAAGCCTTGACCCCTGCTCCCCCCAGGGGTGGCCAGGTCGCAGTGAAGGGATCTTCGACCCTCGAGCGGCCAGGTCCTCTAATCTGCAACGCACACAGGAGGTGCGCATGCCAGTCATCCAGCCACAAGTGACTGGCTGGACGAGGTGCAGGCCCTGGCAGGAGCTGGGCCCCTGCAGGTGTCAGGCAGCCCTGTCCCCACTGTCAGCAGCGTCGGCAGCCCCACAGCCACAGGAGCCCTTGGTCTCAGAAGTCTCACTGGCACAAACTCTCCACTGATTTCCTGACAAAGCTGGAGGCCTCAGCCCCTTGCTTCCCCCAAAGCCGCTCTTCTTCTCTTGACCTTCTCTTGACCTTCGCTGATGGCGCAGTGCTGGCCCGAGGCCATCTCAGCCAGGCGATGCGTTTGTGCCCAGGACCTGCTCCCCCCAGCTCCTGAGGATGGTTCTCCCCCGAGTCCAGGACTTTTCTCGGCTGGCCTGACGCCCCACAGCCTTCTGGCTCCCGTCTCTCCATCTCTTTGGTCTGGGCCATCTTTGAGAGCCAATGGAAGCGCTGGGCCTAGCGCCCAAAAAGCGCACACGAGCCACGTTACAGCTGGTGTCAAGCAGCCAACATCCAGTCTTAGGCCCACGTCCGATGACCATCCACATGCCAGCCTATGCTAGGGAAGTTCAGGCTTCCTGAGGCCTCTAGCACACCCACACGCACATGCAAGCACAGGCACACATGGTCACACACAATCACATGATGATTCACGGATGTCTCTGTAGGCCGCCTACTCTTTCCTGAGGCCTGTCTTTCCAGGATTGCCCGGTGGCTGCCCCGCGAGGCCTGGGACACGACCGGCACCTACCAGCTCTCCCGTCCCCAGGCTGCTCAGTGGGGCCAGCTCCGAGAGCACAGCCAGTGTGTCGCACAGGATCCTCCTGCTGAGCTGGGTGGAAACCAGATCCACCACCTCTGCCCTGTCCCCCCCGGGGCCCACGCAGGGGCCCCTGTCCAAAGCGGGAACTGGATCCCCCTGCCAGGGGCCAGCCAGCCCCGTGTGGCCAGCCGTCAACAGTGCTGGCAGGCCCTCTCCAGTCACACAGGTCTCTCCAGACAGTGTTGGGGCCTGCACGGACTGCCCTGGAGGCCCGGCCGGGGCATTGCGTGCCCCCCCACACCAGGGGGACCTGAGCCGGTCGACAGGTTCAGACCACTGGCCCCCCATAACCTTGTTCCTCCCAATAGAATGTGATTCACCCAATTGGTCCCCAAGGCTCCTGCCCTGTGCACCTGCCTCCAGGCAGAGGCTGGCCTCCTGGGGCCCCAGGGACAGTGCCTCGGACAAGGAGGGCAACTCCCAGGTGTTGGTGGAGACGTCTTCGGGTGGGGAAGGGAAGTCCTCAGAGGGGGGGCTGGGGGTGGCCCTGCTGCCTGCTGGGGGGGGCGGGAGGCGGAAGAGCATCCCTGTGTGTGGAGGACGGGAGGTCGGCACTGCCGTAGGACAGCACCTCATCCACCGGGGACAGGATCTCAGGCAGGATACTGCCATCCAGAGAGAGGCTGGCTTCCTCTGGGGCAGCAGGGGCTCCACTGCCCGCCTGCCCAGGTGCCCGGCTCTCAGCCCTCAGGGCTGCCAGCACCCTGGGTGTTGCAGGCGGTGCCTGTGGGGGATTCCTGTCAGCCTCCTGGGGCCCCTCTGGGCAGTCGGTGGAGGCCTGCAGAGGCCCCGTCTCTCCTCCTCGGCTGAAACTGGCTCCTTCGGACACCAAGGACCCCAAGGGAAAGGGAAGGGATAGGGCTGAGTCTCTGCAGAGATGGGCACTGGGGAGGGATGCCGTGCAGGCAGCCTCAGGGCATGGCCAGCCGGCCTTTCCTGCATCTAAGTCACTGGTCAGACTCCCACCAGTTCCAGAAGCTTCCTGGTCCCCACCAGGGCCTGGAGAGAGAAGTGCCATGCTGGGTGCCCCTCCATCTTCCAGGTCAGAGGAGCCTCCAGCAGGGGAGGGCCACCCTGTGGCTGGCTGGGCACCCATGCCAGACTCCAGTGGGCTCTCCTCATCCCAGACCTCGCTGGATGCCTCTGACAGCTCTGATCCTGACCTGGGCGAGGGGACGTTGGGGAGAGGCCGTGGCTGGCCCGGCTGCAGGAGGCCTGGCCCTGACGCAGTGGGGGAGCCCCGCAGGGGACCCCCGTGCAGGCCCCTGGAGGCTCCAACAGAGGACGCCCTGGACGAGCCCAGGTCTGCGTCTGGGGTGTTCCCGGCCTCCCAGTCTGACAGGGAGGCAGAACTATCCGAGAGCTGGACCAGAAAGGCGGACACTTTCTGGAACTCCTGGAGGGAGGGACAGGACAGGCCACTCACGGAGGAGGGGGTGTGGGATCCCATTCTGGGGCGGGGGGCTGCCCTGGCGTTGGGTGGGGGGCCTTGCCACCTCAGCAGGAGCTACGGAGAGAAGAGAGGGGGGGATGTCACCCACAGTCCCCACTCTGCCTCCCCTGCCACGCCCCCCGCACCAGGAGCGGCAGCAGCACACACCCCACTGGGTGGGAGTCAGAGCCAGTGGGTCAGAACCGGAAAGCCCCGATGGAGGCAGAAGAAATGTCCGCGGTGCCCGTGGGTGGGCCCCATGATCCTAGTGGTTAGCTCAGCTTCACCCCCCCACAGGAAGTGTCACTGCTGTGTGGACTTTCCTCAGGGGCTCAGAACCGCAGCTGTCGTAGAGACAGACTGGCTGCCTCTGCCTTGTCTTGCTGTTTGAAAGTGGATGTTCCAACAGGGAGTCCACCTCCTGTCTTTTACCTGCCGATTGGGACTGTGATGGGAGGGGGAGGGGGTGGCCCCCAAGGCTGGCGGTGGCGGGAGATGCTGGCTGTGACTTAGAAGTAGCCTTGGGTGACCCTAAGTGGGAACTCGGTGGTCCTGGTGCAAAGGCGGGGGATCCGGAGTGGGGGGGCATCACCTGGACAGGTGGTCAGCTGGGTGGCTTCCTGCCAGGAGTGGGGGTCGTGGGGGTCCTCCTGCCAACAGGTCTCTGTTCTGCAAACACATGGTAGGCAAGTCTCCCAGCCTCCTCGGGGCGCAGGGTCTCTGCAGGGGCCTTCAACTACCCCAACGGGAGGCGGGGAGGTTGCCCCCAGAGCACAAGGATCCCTGTCTTTAGGTGGTTCTGGCCTCAGTCCCCACTGCATCAGGGAGCTGGGGGGGACGTGGCTCAGAGGCATGTGCTCCCTGGAGGGGTCCCTCCTGCTGCCCCCACCACTGGCTCTGGGGCTGATTCACTGGGTGGTGCCCTTGTTTCAGACTCGGGAGGGCATGGGGTGGGCTGGGGGTGCCCAGCAGCCAGGCCAGTGAGCGGGGCACCAGGGGTGAGTGAGGATCCCCCAGCGAGAGCCCGGGGAGCAATGGCTTAACCACCTCCACGCCTCAGGTCCCACCCCTGCCCGAGGGTCCCCTGGGCCCAGGTAGCCCCCACAGGCCCCACACCTCTGCTTCTCTGACCACTGGCCTTCCACTTCAGGGGCCTCCCTGCCAGGGCTGCTGGCAAAGTCCAGCTCCAGCTCTGCCCCCACTCGGCTTGCGCTGCCTTCAACCACCTGCTGGAAACCCGTTGGAGAAACGCCACATTCAGGGTGTGGCACCTCCACCCGCTCTGGTCCCGTCCCTCAGCTGTGGGGAGAGCACCTGTGCTCTGGTGGCCACGGGAAGGAACAGGGGCCACCTGCCCACCCAGGGCCTAGAGACCCCACACACCAGGCACCCCCCTCCCAGTGGGCTCCAATGGCCCCCGACAGACGGGCCACCCAGGCAGACTGTCCTGTCGACTCCTTCACCGGACGAATGAGGTTATCCCCCCAAAAGCCACATGGCCGGGTCGACAAAGCAAGGCCAGGCCCCACTCACTCACACTGGCTTCCCGGGGGCTGCAGGGCCCCCCTTGGTCCCAGGAGCTACATGCATGGCTTTCCGTCAGAGCCCAGGTCTCCACTGTGGACGAGGGGCTGGGGTTGGGCTGGGGGTCTCCTGTGAGGCAAAGAGACCGTCAGTGCTGACTGCAGGAGCACAGGACAGAAGACACGGTGTCCAGGGACTCTGAGGCCACAGGAAAAACATCTTAAAATGCAAAATAGCTGAAGCACTTGCTTATTTGGGCTCCAGTGAGGACATAGCACACATGGCTGCCTGCTCCTGAAAGTGTGGCTGTGGGAGAGCTGCTGATATGAGTCCCAGAAAAGGTTTGAGAAGAAGGCGGGGCAGGGGCAGGCCTTGGCCATGCCCAGGTCAGCAGACCGGGGACAGTGGGGACACGGGGGCCCACAGGAGGAACTCACATCTGTCCATCACCACCTTCCTAGCCTTCCTTCCACCTTGGCCTGGTGATTGTGGGTCACCAAGGCACGGAGGTCCTAGGCCACCAGCCTTAGGGACAGGAGCTATTTGGCTAAAGCCCTGGTCTTGGAACCTCTGCCAACATGATTATGGCCCTGTGGTCACAGCCCCTGGTGAAGCCTGGGGCATCGTGGGTCACACAGAAGAACCCAGGGCTACCGTGACTGATGGGCGACACCCGGGCACAGTGTCTTGAGCAGAGACCAGCCGGCACTGGCCAGAGTGACTGTCTGTCCTCTGACTACTGCTATCCCTCTCCCCCCGCCCCCCGCCTCGCAGTTACCTTGGCCCATTTGGCTGCCGCTCTCCACAAGCCCTTCCTGGGCGTCCACCCAGCCATCGGCCATGGACGTCTCCTCTCCCCAGGCTGGCCTGAGGGGCCACAGGTGGACGTCCGAAGCTGAAGTTTCTCTGGGGGGTGTCCTATCCTGCTTAGGGACAGGGCTGCAAAGCAGTGCAGAGGGTGTGACTGCCTGCCCAGGCCCGCCCTCCACGGTGCCCAGCCTGGCCACAACTCTCCGCATGCGGAACTCGCAGCACATCCAGGGGCAGCTGTGATTGGTGGCCAAGTGGCCAGTGCACAGGCAAGGAAAGACAGGCCCTGGCCCCTCCCCACCCAGCAACCCCTGCACAGAGCATTGCCCCCAATGGGGCCACTGCTGGGGGGTGACAGGGCACGGGGCACAGTGCTGGGCGTGGTGGGGGGAGATGTCCATCTGTCCCCTGGCCCAGAGCCGTGATCTATCAAGACCCTTGTGTAGAGACTGACCGCTGGCACGGGGTTGCAGCCCTGTGTGCAAGAGCTGGGCCCACTGAGCTCTGGGAGGCACCATGGGTTGGAGGCCTGGACGCCACACAGGCTGCCATGCACTTGGCACACTGATGCCAGCACAAAGTGGCCCCCATCGCAGCCGCAAGGAGGTGGCTGTTGTCCTGACTCCTGGTTTAAGGGCAATGCCTGCAGGCAGGCCAGCTCCAGACATTCTGCCGTTCTCTGCGGGCAGCCTGGGGTTACTTACGCTCCCTGTCTTCCAGGCACCTGCTACAGCTGCTCCTCCTCCAGGTCCCCCTGAGCATCTCCCAGGATCACACTCACATCGGGGTGTGGACAGGGCTGGGGTCCATGGGCCATCCTCTGCCCACCCAGCCCTACAAGCGAGCCCATGGCCCATGAGGGTAGTCAGCCCAGGGATTTCCAGGACCCAGGACTGGAGTGTGATGGTGACGTGAGTTTAGGTCAGTCCTAGTGAGGTTTATTTGGAAAGAGCTCCCGGAGGGAGAAGAGGGCGAGCACAGGGCCAGGGCTGCCCATGACGACTCACGGGGGGACTCCCGGGCTCTCAGGGCTCCTCCAGGGGCCGTGGCTGGAGGGGCTGCAGGGCCTGAGTGGTGTTGGGGAGCATGATGAGCCCTGTGCAGGCCCCTCTGGCTGCTGGCTTGTCTCAGAGCCCCACTCCCAGGCGGCCTTGGCTTCAGGGCTGGAACCCTGGGAGAAACAGCAGAGGGTGAGCCGGCGAGGACACCCCTGGTCCATCTCCTCTTCGGAAAGTGTGGACGGCGTGCTCACCTGAGTAGGCACCTGGCTGAAACCGTGCGCCCACCCGCACAGGAGCCTGAGCCCCGGTGCTAATGGTGCAGACACCAGGCCAGAGCACGACTAGCTGGGCCCACACCCTCGTCTGTGTCAGCCGTCCTGGGTGCCCCTCCTACAGGCTGGCCGGGGGCAGGCAGCACACCTGCCTGGTGACCATCCCACCGTGCACCTGCTAACCCACACCAGATGCATCATGGAGCCCAGCTCATTCCATCCTCCTGCAGCATTCCCAGCTTACAGAGAACAGCCACCCACCCAC